CAAAGAGACTTAAACATCCATTGAGATTTAAAAAATGCAATCTGCTGAACAACAAAAGATAATGGCATGCGTCAGAACTTTAATCACGTTTATAGATTTTGCTAATATTAGGAAGCTTACGAACGCGGTTTGGAAAATTATGTCAAATATCTTTTAAGCTGCATTCAGGTTCTGTTTTCATTTCTAGTGCATGAATTATAAATATTTCTCTTTAACCAATCATTGTCAAACCTGAATAATTTTTATCTGTTATGATTAGGCACGTTATATTTTTGTTTAAATGATTTCAGGTGTTTGAACTTCGGAGTAGTTGTTGCCATTACCTTTGAAAAGTAGATAGAGAATAAACATACAAACAACTTCACAATTTCCGTTTGATGTTTGCAATGTTCAGTGTCACAATGTATTGTGACCCTTTAGTCAACACATAATAGTGATCTTGATTTAACAGGTAGAATAACTGGATTACTTAGAAAGATGGAAAGTAGGGTGAGAAAACTGTTTTGTTTGAAAAGACTAAGAAATCACTAATCTATGAACTGAATGAAGACTCTGTGATACAAGGACTTATAAGCTAGTTATTCCGACGCGTCACAGCCCTGCTAACAGAACGAGGGCTCTGAGTTCGAAAGAGGGAAATATATTCCACTAGCAACCAGAAGCACGAAGACTAACAGTAAGCCCAACGCAAGGGTATATATACAGCATAAAAATGTCCTCAGAAAACAGTACAAAACAGCATACTAAAAGATACAATGAATCAATGTCATTTAAGAACTCCCAAGTGAGAAATACGACATCAAGTTGAAAACATGTCCTTTTAGCGCAGAAACAAGAAATTCAAATCTTTAAACTAGAATTACAAAAATAAGAAATTTATCAAGTGAGTTCTGGGGATCTAAAATTACCAACACAGACACTTCAGTATTCTCTCAAACGTATTGGTCAATATGTAGCTTGAAAATCATAATTAATAAAAAAAATTGTGTTGAAATTATATCGGTTGAGTGAAGGCAAATGTTATGAGTAAGCTTTTCTAAGTTATTAATTTGAGCTCGAAAAGTCGAAAATAAATAGCGCTCCACATAGTTGAAAATAATGTAACGGTATTAAAAATCATTACATGTGACGTTATTAATATGAGTTTGTTTTCTTCATTGCAGGGCAATGAAAAGTAAACGTACTAGAAGAGGAGGAACAAGCCTTGTGCAAGCTGAACCTGCAGAACAATGAATAAACCCATTTTGCAATAAGCTTCCCTTTTTGTACTCGAACCGCGTGTTTTAATATTTAAATATATCTCTGTTGTGCCAGTACGCCGTGTTCTTACTTCTGTGGCATTTACCGGTCCTGACTGTTGTGTTGTGTTTCAGATCGCTCCTGCTTGCAAGTAAACGCAAATAGTACTTGCTACAAGTGGTGATGGAGGGATCTATAGTAAAACGCGACGAAAATTTTGATGAACCACCAGTCATCTCAAGCAAGGTAGTAGCCAGCATAACGCCCCGTCAGACACCACTATTGGGAGTCTCATCAGACTATGCTATTTGGAAAGCTAGAGTAATGAGGATTTTAAACCGTGTTCGAACAACGAAACATTTCGAATATCTGTTGCCTTATTTAGATGATGAGGCAGCGAAAGAGCTACATCCAACGGTTTTGCTGAGTCCAATTCAGCGTCACAAAATTGGAAAATTTTAGACGATTGCTTTTCTCTAACGGTGGACAATCAGCTAACTACTATCCAGTTTTTGTCTCGGCGCCAGACGATGAGTGAAGAACATATCGACTACCTTCATTACTTAAAAGAAGCAGCTGTCCAAGATTTCCTCAGCCTAGACTTCTCGGTTCGAAAAGAACTAGTACGCTCACGATTTGTAGAAGTGCTTTTGCCGGGTGCATTGCGAAAGCACCTGTTATGCATGCCATCTAACAGTATGCAGAACCTGAAAACCGCAACGAGTCAGCTCCGATTTGGAAATTCTAGAACTTAACAGTAATGCTATGGCTTTGTAGTCGTTCGAAAACAAGATCCAGATGCTTGAGATGTGATTCTCTGTCCGGACTTGCGATTAGGCAGTCGTCAACATATGCATGTACGAAGTTGAGACCTCGGAAAACGTCGTCTATGGATCTTTGGAATGTTTAAGCAGCATTTCTTAGAACGAAAGGCATTCGCAAAAATTCAGATTCCGAAGGGAGTAATGATGGCGGTTTTCGGAATGTTGTCTGTGGCCATGAGGATTTGGTTATACGCTTTAACCAAGTCGATTTTCGAAAAGATAGTTGTACCTTTCAAAGTAGCTGTCAAGTTGTGAATGTGAGGCAACGGGTAACGATCGGGAATGCTTTTCGCATTCAATCGCCGATAGTCACCAGTTGGACGTCAATTGTTGCTGTCCTTTTTGGGGGCCATGTGCAACGAAGATGCCTATGGGCTATTTGACGGTCGTATGATTCCTAAGTCCATCATGTGATTGAACTCGTTTTTCGCTAACCTTAGCTTTTCAGGAGCTAATCGTCGTGCTTTAAAGAATACAGGTGGTCCTGTAGTCGTGATGTGATGTGTAACGTTGCTGGTTACACACGGTAGTTTCCGTTGAGTTTGTTGTATCCCAGGGTACATATCGAGTAGTGGTTGATAGAGTGGGTCTATCATATGCTTAACTGTGACTGGGGATAACCTAAAACCAGAAAAAGAAGTTACGCAAATGGATAAATTAGTGTTTCAGTCTACTAGCCTCCGTTTGCGCGTATCGATGATTAGATTATGGTGTTGTAGAAGATTCATACCAATGATTGGCATAGAAACATCTGCAACAACGAAGATCCAATGAATGGGTTTGCATAAACCCACGTTATTGTAAACGTACCTTTTGCCATACGTAGCGATCGGTTTTCCGTTTGCTGCCTGTAAGTTTACAGTTGATTCGTGAAACCGGTCGTTAGGATTTACTGGGAGAACGCTGACTTCTGCGCCAGTGTCGACGAGGTAGCGAACTCTCGTTGTCACATCTGTGACCTATAACAGACGGCTATTTTCGCCGGCTACGGTTGCCGTTAACGCGTGCCGGCTTGGAAGTTGCCCGAGTTGTTTTTCGAGTCAGTCGTTTTCGTGTTTGGAAAGTTGCAGGGTTTTCTGCAATTTCTGGAAGACTTTCCATACTGGTTATGATACCAGCACCAGTCGGGGTTATCCGTCTATCGTGGTCTAGAGACAGATCGCTTACGTGAAATGCTTCTACGTGGGCTGTGTGAGCGATTACGGTCGTTACGATGATTAAGATAACGCGTGAGTGTATGACATAACTCGGTTATGTCATTCTGAGTTGTTTAAGGCTTTTCTTTGACTGAAAATACCTCTGTGGTAGACGATTGCGTTATTTCTAAAATACGATCGGCACATGCAGCTAGCTCGTCTAAGGCGTTGTTTTGAAATGAGACAAGCACAGTTTGCACCTGTTGAGGAAGTTTAGACAAGAAGAGTTGTTTAAATAGGCCTTCGTCGAAAGTTCTTAGGCCTATCACTTCTCTCATTCGTTGCAACATGTCCGTCGCAGAACTGTGTTGCAGGTCGATGTTATTGAAGAGTTGATCTAACCTTTGTCGATCGGTTAGGTCTCCTCGTTTAAGAATCGAACGTTTTAGGATTTCGTAAGGTTCAGAAACATCACTAGTAAATATACTAGGTGTTACGTACCTGTTGAATTCGTGCGGTAGTGCCTTGACTACTGCGAGGAATTGTGCACGTGTGTCGTTCATGCCGTGCTCGTGGAAGTCGGCTTCTGTGTAGCAGAACCAGGCTTCGATATTGTCGGGCCTGAAGGGCATGAGTTGGAATGAGGGTGGGACATAGTAATAATCTTAAATACCTTGGGGGTCTGTTCAGTCATAGAGTAAAATTAAGTATGAGAATACGAGGGGAAATTATATAGATATCCTGAGACACCGAGAAAAAGTATCACATTGTATAAAAAATTAAAATAAAGCAGTGATATACAGAATCCCAAAATGGAACAGACTCACAGTTTACGATTTGGTGTACCAGATCACGTCGGGCTCACCAATGAAGATGACACAAATATTCAGTGTTTGACAACGCTTTTACCAGTAACACCTTCTAATGTAACTCATACCCACCAAGAGAAATCAAAAGGCAGAATTGAGGAGATCGGAAGATACATTTGTTGACTGTCAATATATCGAGAATCGTCTGACCTAATCTGACTAGCGATTGCAGTAGATGTTGAGCACGGCGTTCTCACACGTGATCTGGTGCGGATGCATGATCGAGAGCTTTCACCTAGGTGAGTCCACTAAAACATGTGGTCAGCATCCAATGTCGAAAACTTACAGAGCTATTTATTTACCGCTACAACACGAACGAACGCATAGTATTTGGAATTCGAAAACCAGTTGCCATCAAGTACAAAGGAATCATTAGGTCATACAAACACCACAGATTGTCTCAGGTTTTTTTCTGAACGCAGAGGAATATTCTTGCTGTTGCTTACACCTGATACCAAGTGTTTTTTCGAGGTTAGAAAAATTGTCAGCAGTGACAAGGGTGAATTGAACTAACATTCGATGAACTGTCTGACAGAACCAAGCATTTTCTTTCATATTGATTATTTTTTACCAGGATGTATGACAACACTTGTTGCAAGTTTAAAAGTTGATTAACGGTGGGATTCTCATATTAGAAGCTGAAGTTGAATATTGATTTACTGCAAAAATCACAAATTCAAGCACTTGTAGATTATTTGTTTTTTATTTATTTGTTTCAGTTAGATATACTGAATAATATTTTTTAAAGTCAAATATATGACGTGAGAGTCTAAAACTTACAATTGTTACGTTCACATCAATTACTTCATTATATACTCGTCCAAAGTAGACAGAACAAACATTCTCGAAACCTGTAAACTACGTTTTTGGACGTCATTATTTCTTGGAGTGATGATAAGCCATGAACACATAGTGCTTCTATCATTTATTTATTGACACTAACATTCACGTTTTTTTTGAGCGAGTTCATATCCGACAGGTAGTTGAACTGGCTTTCATCTGGCTGCTTTTCGCATCACCGGATTAACTCCCTTTGTTGTAACGATTTAAAAATACAGCACAAAGGAATGTAATGAACCTTAGTTACATATTTTTGTTAACAGACATCATCGAACATGATAGACCAAAGTGATTCGACTGGTCGCTTTGAGAAATGTTACGTTTGTGTAGCATCACTGTCTTACATGCTCATATTTTGTCAATGCATGATTCATCACATTTCTCACCTATAATCAAGCCACTGCGATCGGTCTTCTAAAGACAAAATGCTTGATGAATAATTCATCCAATGGTTAGTAATTATTTGACTCTATAATACCATATGCAAAACCCCTGACCTCAACTCTACAAAATAAAAAAAACGTCAATCGAAATTTCAACACGAACATAATGTCGGCACAAAGCCTTGTTATCTTTGACTATAATATACCTTATAAACTCGGAAAACCCCTTATTTGGTACGTTACTCTCTATTTTGAGATGAAAGCTCCAGATATAATGGTCTTGAAATGATTCGAATAGGTCAGGTTGGAACAACACTGTTAAAATACCCAACAAGAAATCGTCTGAATCAACGCTGACTAAGTTGTAAGACATATTTGGCTTACCTGCGAAGGTATCGCGAAGTGCGACTTCAAACCAGCCTGTTCGAGTAATGCACGCATTCTTTAGCAAGCTGGAACAATCTGGTAGATAACTGACTGACCGTCTTCACGTATTAGCGTCCAGGAAAAGTAACATGATCGACTTCTCTGTCGAATGTTTTGTTATTTATTACGAAAAGCCATTTCTTAGTAAAGAATATCGATCTCGGACTTTCGAGCTGAGATTTAAGTTCAGATTTGGGAAAGAGCCTGTTAACGTAAAATCATTTCAAATATTCATATGTTTTGCCTTCTAGGGAATATGCTTTAAGTACCAAGAATAACGTCCCGCGTACTCGAATCGTTTGCACTAGCGGTGTGAGGTGATAAAGGGACGTGAGAAGGGTTAGTCGTGGAGATAAGAGAGGTATTAGGAGGTACAGGAAGGATTTGAATGTGACCAACTTGGTCTCGTGTGCTGTTATGGATATAAGAGCTGATGTCACTTCCCGGCTGCCCACACCGTGGAAGGGTATTTCTTGAGGAAGCTGAATAGGAAATTGGATTAGTGTTGGTCTTAACGACCTGGGAGCGTGACCGCAGAGCCCAAGGGACAGCTGTTTCGGGCCAGTAGCGCACGACCTTTTCGTAGGTTTTTAATGTGTTAGCTCCGTTCTTCAAAGGGCCTTACCGCCGGAGACGGAAATCCGTGAGGTAAGGTGAGGTGTGACATTTTTAGGGTCGACCTTTTGTTACCCCTTCCTTCCTTGTAAGAAGGCAGCCTTGCTGCAGATGCTGGTGGTCCGAGGGAAACTGCTGTCACACTCCTTTACAGTTAGCAGTATGACTTCGCCCTCAGACAATGAGTTGCTGCTTTTAGTCTTACCGTTCTCCAATCGACCTGCCTGGTATGGTAGAACTTGCAGGAACATATGTTCCAGCCCATATAGCTCGGTTAGGTCATCACGGTTGGTAAGCCCGACCACCACGTCAAGGTAGTAGCTGTGGTCAGGCGTGCGTTGATTACAGTGTAAAAGTCAAAGTTTAATTATGAATCATAAGTTTATTAGCACAACTATAAAACAGAAAAATAAAAGGAAGGAAAACTATTGAAAAATTTCGTTTTATTCGAGAGATGATGAGAATTCAGTGGATTCAAACCGGTGAATACATACCCAACTTTGTATTGAAGTAAAGTCTAGACAAGCGATGCTCTGTCAGAATAGCTCTATGAAAAGTATAAATGAAGAGGATAAATAATAGTCAGTTTAACACTGATTATAGAATGATAATTAATTTAGCATAAAAAATTAATAATAGTAAATTAGCAAAACATTTCTCGGCTTGTTTTGCTTTTTAACAAATCAGGATGAGAAAAAATGTCTACAGGATGAAATAAATGTGAAGAGGGGAACGAAAATTGAATCTGACTGTAACGATAAGACTGAACTGGAATGATGTTGTTCACGTAACTGGATATTGTTTGATGTCATCTAATACAGATCACAAGTCAAAAGACAATTAGAGGAGTGTAATATTTGATGTAACTGACTGGAACGGTTTATATATTTCAACTAAATTTTCAATAAGAATTCGTACTAAATTTATTAATAGGTTATTTGACTTTTAGGCTGGTATTAATCACACAACAATTTGTAAAGACGAAATACCAAACAGCTATTCTGTCTAGCTACATGCACTCATGAAACCCTTTTGTAACTGAAGTAAGCAGCATTTTTAACGTCATCATTTTACTCTGAGTCACAATGTTGAACAAGACTTTCTCCTGATAAACATCAATAATAGACTTCGATAAAAGATGTTATGTGATTATTGTATGATTTCTAAACACTTGCATATCAGAATTTTTAATAAAAGTCATTCAATCTATTGATTTCGTAAATGTATGTGTAAAACGTTAGATAAAAATTTCCAACTGGTGAAGACAGGAAGTAGATGAAGCAGATAGTAAACGCATGTTAGCAATCACTGAGTGGTTTTTATAGAAGTGAAATATATGGTTTCAAGTTCAACAACCTTAGTTCATAAATTATTCCAAAAAAGGCTACAAAATCATCTTATCTACATAGAGTATACAGCTACGATTGTTGTCAACCACTTCACATTATCTATGCTGAATATGTTGTCTCTAATTTTAAACAAAAAAATTAAACAATAGTAAAACAGTTATGCGTACCGATTTTCTCTCCATGATATAAAGTCATTAATAAACAATAGCAAAATGCACCAGATAAAACCAAATGCCGATATGACTGGAGATAAAATGTGCCAACTTGTTAATCTTAAAGGAGAATTAACGACGCACAAGCGAATAATCATATAAACCGAATGAAGAATGAATCTGAAGGACAAAAAACACACAAGAAAAACACACTTATATTAAAACATAAAGCCTTTTCACTAAGTTCGACAAATAAAATGAAGAACGAATAAAACATGTATGCAATCCAAACACATGTTAAAGATGAGTAGTTTTTTTTAATCATATTCTAGAAGTTCCGTAATATAATTAATGTGAAAATAGTGCGACATAAGAAGTATTTATGATGCTACTTTGTTGAAGGCTTTCGAAAGAAGTCTGTAAACCTGGTTGGCATGCATCAGCAAAAATAACGAACCACATAGATCAAATTGACTAAACAGCACAGTTGTAACGAGAAATAGATCCAGTGCTCGCAGCCGATCACGTCCAGTCGCTAATCATAAAAACCTAGTGCGAACGATGAGGTGTCACTTGAACTACTATTGAAATTGCAGCTTATCGATAGAACCAAGGGTTAGAAATGAGCATGAGAATGTTTATTACTCAGCGACCATCCAGGACGAAAGAGAGATGTGTTTATTTCTATTGTTTTTATGATGTGAAAGGATTTTTTACGAATAGATAAAAAAAACAGAGATTTGGCTAAATAACAATGTTAAAATACTATAAAACAAGTAAGGCTCTTAATATAAGCAGGAAACTTAATAAATATGCTTTATTATATATATATATATATATATATATATATATAATTTTATGAACTAGTTATTTTTATTATCAGAATCTGAGCCAATTAGAAAAAAATTAGTCTTTATGCTTACATAATTTCATTATGCTTATACAGACAAGATAAGTAGTTAAAGTACAGTGGAGGTTTCACATAAGACTATAAAGGAATTGGTAAATGAACTGTTTACATTTATGATATTTAACTACTGAGAATTAACTTTCGATTAAGTTTTAAGGCTTCATTGTTTGACTTCATTATCTTTAAGTTACCTGATTGTCGTCTTTTGGATCGAAAAACGCAAACGACGTTTTTTGTTGTGTATAGTTATAATACAAAGGAAATGTACTATAACTAACGGTCGAGAAGTGCGATATATAAATAGTTTGAGTTCTCCATCATGATAAAACTACAATCAGTGAATATGATGACCAAAGAATTAACTGGCTACCACCAAATCTGTGTTCAAATGAACAGTCAAAATAATAGCTAATATATGAACGAATATCACTGTCCGCTAGGTTAAAGTATTTCCACAACTTTAGAAGCATAAACATAGTTACGATTCAACATTTTTGGGTTCAGGGTAACAGAATGCGAAAACTGGGTAAAAAGAAGGATATTGAATCAAAAGTTTTTTCCCTGGAAGTCCTCCCAGTACTCAAAAACGTTGAAAAAAGATGCAAAAAATGAACAGAAAGTTATTTAATAAGAAGTAACCCACATTAGACTAGAGACAATGCACCAAGAAGGATTTGTAGAATACCGGAATTTCCATACTCTTTGACCATAATTTGCATAAGAAAATGATATAACAACTGGAAACATAAAAAAGCGAATTAAGCAAATAGCTTTTTACAATAACTAGATGTAATTAATAAGCAAAGAATAGTGAGAGGGATGAATGGAGGACTACCTCATTCATTCAGAACGTAATATAAATTTCCTATATTATTAAAATCAACCAACCATGTGTAATTTAGGTGGTTAGAAATAAACTATATATGACATTTACATTAAGGTGCGTTAATATTACATAAACTGGTAGCTCATTGACAGACAATGTGATCTTTTTATCTCCAAACTGCATAGATGTATCTTACAAATACTGTAAGCACCATATCTAACTACAGTGTTGAACAATGAAGGAAGCAGCATGGATCGTCTCAAGTCGTTATCATTATTATATTATTAGTACATTAAGGTAATGAGTATCAACTATTGACAGGTGAGCTAAGGAATGCTCTCGTTTTAAATTAATGAACAACATAGACTGGTGCTTATGTGAAATATAAGACTCGAGTCAGGTTTCCTACAAATGCGCAACATAAGTCCAGACTTGCTTGCATTTTATTAAACACTAACAACTATGCTACATGTTTCGATAAACGGATTTCAATCAGTAACACACTAACTGACTCGTGAATTCAAAATATAAATCACCTTTTAACTGGGTTTGCACGCATACAAATTATTATGATGGTCCAAATGACTAAAAGACGATTACTAGGATTGTTCAAGTGACCAAGCAGATGTTGTTCTGACAGACACAACCATTAAATTCCATTTAGATAGACGTCACAAAACAGAACCGACTAATCAACGGGTTGTATGTATTAGAGAATGTAATTTAAATACAGTATATTCACCAGAGATAATATGACTATGACTTAGCAAAAGATAACCACTAATTAAAAATGATCATAAAGTAATCAATGAGACTATACTTTTACCCATAGTATCACACATACGCATTTTTGAAGATCAGTAGTGAATTAAAGAAAAAATCGGATTTAAAACCAGAGTATATAGGTTAAACATCTTTCATAATAATAATGTCTACAAAATATTCATGTGCTACATTGCAGCTATTTACGATGACATCATTAGTAACAATGGTAATAATAATAACAATACGATGCATATACATGTTCTTAGAAAATATATATCATAAAATTAAAAAAACTACTAAACCCTCTTCACATACTTAGGTACATGATTAACTGATAGAAGATTAAATCCTTTAAACTATATATTAATATAGACAATTTTGATAGACATGATTCTTGAAGGGCATAAGATGATCTGAAAAAAGGATAAAAAAAAGGAACATATAACTAGTCAGTGATGTTCTTTTCTTAATGAATTAACCTAGTATTACTTGAGATTGATTCTTGTTCAGGGTTTTACAGTTTAAAATTATTTGATAATCATAACAACATTAAATTTTCGTTAAACATCTTGAAGGGAAAAAAATTACTACTTTTTAAGATGAAAGTAGGAAATTGGGGTTGAGAGAGAGAGAGAACAGCTTGATATTAGTTAGAATACTAAATTCAATGAACATGGCCACGAAGCACAAAAAAGATAAGCTTCAGCAAACAACTTAAAATAATAATTACTTTTTTGTTTTTAATTGCTGAAGTTATACTATACTGACAAGCATATAGGGTTTCACAGAGAAACTTTTCAGCAATTGTATAAACTTTAGAAAGTAGTACCACTTATCAGTTGTTCAATATAAATCTTGAGCAGGCTACCATTACTGAAAAGTTAAAAGGTATTTTAATTGATCAAGAATCGATTGTGCTGCCATAAAGTAGAAACAATACTCTGTGAATGTGAGGACAAGTCGTATGCTTAGTCCGTCCGATAAAATTATGTTGGTTACGCAATTAATCGAAAACTGGTTCCCTTTTCATTGATCGGGGTTAGTCAGTAAGCTACAACATAGGAACAGGCACATATATGCATCGGTCCAAGTTGACATACCTCATTAACACAACAAGATGGACACCGGATTCATAAAAGTAGTTAATTCAGAGGTGGTAATATACAAAAGAAAGATTGCAATAAGGACATAGTACAGGAAGAAGGAATTACTTCGTAGAAAGAAAGATATGAAGTGATTTTAATCTCTTAGTTTAAGGGAAGACAGGGAATGTATGCACCGACGCCATTGTGATCGATTCTGAGCCATGACACCAAGTCTTTATTTATTTGAACACATAAATATTGGTACAAGAGAGCGCCAATATATTTGCGCCACACAAAACAATGAAAATTCGAAGAGAGATAGAAAAAAAACTAAGGAGCGCAAAAGAAAAAGAGAACGAAGAGATTGGTGTAAGGTAGTGTGGTCGTAACGATGGAACGGAAAGGTACAATCAGAAGAAACCTTTCAAGTAAGGGAGACACAACCACTTTTTATGAAGAAAGTAAAAGAAGGTTACAGAAGGATCGCCACTGGCTTCTATTCTGAGCCATATCGGATAACGTCTCTAGCCACTGTGTAGCACCATCTCTCAGACCCCAACCAGGGAGTCGTGAAGGACCGACAGAAGGCAGTCATTTGCAGCTTTCTTTCATACCACGACACCATGTCATGCACTGACCACCTCTCCGCTTTTTCCAACCAGTCCCAGAGTCGGCAAATAATGCACGACGTGGAACTTTGTGGTTTAAGTCATTAATAGATTTCATTGCTGTTTCCACAGCTGTTTGTATAGCTTTCCAAGCAACATCTGGGTCAGCCTCGTTTTCAGAACTACCTAAGTGTGACCTCAGTTGTTCCTGGAACTTACTTTTAGTTTTCTCGCTACTCAATTCAGTTCTAATGGGTCTTTTTACTGAGGCTTTTTTGCGTCCAGTGAGGCGTAAATAAATGCGTGTCCGTATTAGGGCGTGGTCGAAGTTCAAGCAGGTACTCCAGAATGAGCGACAATCTTCTACCGACCCTCTCCAACGATGACTGATGGCAATATGATCTATTTGAGTCCATCGTTGATTTGGTGTAGGGGGTCGCCATGTTGGACGATGTCTCTCCTTATGCTTAAAATTTGTGTTTGCTAAAAATAAACGATTGTCTGAGCACAGTCAGTCAGTCAGTCAGTAACAACGTAGAACTTAGTACGTACGTACATCAGTTCGAGTTGCCATACCACATTAGCACAGAGATGCAGTGGTCGATTCAAATCCCGTAGTGGTAGAGGAAGCAAGAGTATAAGCAGTAATCGGGAAGATTAGGGTTTGGAGATGTTATTTAACGAGTATAAATCAGTGAAATAAATTTGGAAAGAGGAAAAAAAAGGGACATGAAGAATTCAGATAATTAGAATTCGGGAGAACATAGAGAGTGTATTCACCTGCGCCATTGCAATCGATTTTGAGCCATGTCATTCAGGGTCTCTAACCATCGGTTGCTATCATCTCGCGGTCCCCAACCAGGTAGTCTACACCTATCAACATGACTCAGACCACTTGTCAGTGACTTCATGGATTTGTGCCATGTTTTGGTCTGGCCGCCCCTAGCTTTCTTCCAACCTACTCCTATACCACTGAATATAGCGCGTCGAGGTAGTCGGTGGTTGGGCATACGTAACACGTGTCCCAGCCATTTCAACTGATGAAGCTTCACTACTGAGCACAGTTGCAACGGACGATCACCATTATCTGTTCGTTGTGCCGGAATACTAAAATACCCACCTAAATGCTTTTCTGTTTGGTTTAAACTACCTATCTGGGCATTATGGTAACCTGCTACGAGTACTATGTCTGGACGTTTAGCTTTCTGAAGAAGTTCAGATAGCTTTCTGTAAAATTAATCTTTCACTTCATCTGAGCTGCAGTCGGCGGGAGCAGCTCGCGGTTAACTCTCATGAGAACCAAGTTATTAGTGATCCATTGGATAGGAGACAACTCAGTGATAAAAAATGTGTGACGATATTTTGTTAACTCAGCGATTTGTACAAATGCAGATAAGACGAATGCTATGTTAATTTTTTTAATAAACTATTTATGACATTATAAAAAACCTAGAAAAAGGTTTATCTGTCCTCATAAGTTCCTCTTCGTGGAACACACTTACATTTAGGATTGAAACATCGATTATAAACATTTTGCAAATCATGCTAAAATATTATCGACATCTAGAGCTGATTGAATGTTAGAAGTTAATTTTTGATTCAATTAATATGTATGTTAAATTAATGAAGTGAGACCAAAAAAATTAAGGTCATCCTACGATAATCACAGTTTCGATAACAGTTTAATTCTAGTGATTTGTTTTTATGGGACTGTACGTGTAGTTGAGAAAGTGTCTTGTATGAGGAGAGAATTAAATACATGAAACTGTTTGGTAACTACATACTGAATAGTTTTAGAACGTTCGGTTACAGGATTAAAATCGTTCATTTTCTGAACAGCTCTAATGGATGATCAGTTTAACTGAAACAAACAAGCATGAAATGGTGTGACATATTTAAAAAATAATGATAGATCGAACAATATAAAATACATAATTTCAACTTACGATAGTGTTTTAGTATATGCCTTGGAATCGTTAATTAGGGGATTTGTTCCATTAAACTTATTTGTATAAATACTGTGAAATGATCGGTGACAATCTTCAAGCTGTTGAGCCCATAAAAGATGACCGATTTCGCAAAATAGACAAATTAACAGTGACGGTATGAAACGAGAACAAGTCACTAAAGTAAAGCGTAAGCATCTCTAAATTTACAAAACACGCAAACAGATGAAAAAAATTGATGTACCAATAAAAAACATTCAGAGAAATAATTGGAAAAATACACGAGAATAAATAATTGAACAGGCTAGTACTGGGAGGTTTGCCAAACCAAATCTACTTGATGATATAAACTATGTGGTACCTTTTGGATAGAATGACAATTGATGTCTAGTTTAAATTAATGATATGTCTTTGTCTCTGTCAGTTACTAACCAAATAAAAAAAACATTCTGTTGTGTTAGACTGAATAGATATAAATTTCCATATACTGACTTATTTAAAAGAACTTTTAGTCAGAATGCAGCATATAAGACTTAATATAGCCTGAAAAATGTCAAAAACACAATATACAGAATTGTGTAGATAGTTTGAATAGACTTGTGACTTCTTTTTATCAACGTGATTACTAGCTACCAACAAAGATGCAAGAGTATTGTGAATAGAGGCAAATGAAAATGTAGATGTAATGAGTGAGTGACATGGGAGGGTAGTTATTAGTAAAATTATGAAGATCTAAGCGTTGCAATCATATGTACTAAATAATATGATATATTTAAAGCTTAATTCAAAGAGAAAATTAATTGAGAATAACTTTCTATGATGTCCGTTTTATTGTAAAAAGCCTACAGCGAAATCCAACCAATCAATTCAGAAAAGTAAAACAATCATCAAAATCAAATTAACTCATACACAAGGTACTTGGGGATGAGCCACATTCTAAGTGTCATAGTTGATGGTACCAGCCGGTTGTCCAAACCGCAGTAGAAGACGAATAGTAATCAATGTTAAGAGATAAATCTATTCAGGAATGATCACAGTGGCCATAAAGTAAATCTTTTAGGCACTAATGATGTACAGTAAAAACAAATTTAAAAAAGATAGTGGTTTAATTACATTTATTCTTCCATGAGTTAAGACTTCGACTAACAGAAGAAAGTATACGCTCAGCTGCACACAGAACATCCACACAAGTAATTGTGTTCCAAATAAAAATCGAACCCATTATTAGATTTAAATAATTAAGGGAAGGTCATTCAGATATATATATAATCGCACAAACTCACCTTCTTAGTAAATAGTTTATTACGCTTAATCGGTGGCTCACGTAACGGTTGGTTTCTTTCCACTCGCCTATCAATTAAAGATAATGTTAAAGATGGAATGACAATGAAAAGTAGCCAAAATAATTGACCAATGCTAAGACTTGGTTCTAAATTCCAATCCGAAATGTAATGTAACAAATTAATGTTAGTGTGCTTATCAGTTTTACTTAAATTACCAAAAATTTCACTTGAACCAAAAATAACTGATCGAAATGGTTCCACAGGCAACCAAATTAATTCGCCTTGCTGAAGATTTGATCGCACATCTAGCAAAACAACAGGTCGTGTAGGCAACCCGATTATTAATAGTAGTAATTGTAGCAAACCAACTGCTAACGGAGTTGTTGAACTGAACACCAAACAATGATAGAGGTTGTTAACACTGGCGTGAGCCTGATTAATATAAATGGGAAATAAAATGTTCAAAAGTATTCTGAATAATCACTAAAGTATACCTTAATGTACAAGTCGGCTAAATTTCACTAAACGGTTAATATTTTAAGTCATTAGATAGTTTCTAACATTATACCATCCAGTCAACTGTATAAGTCAAAATCTAGGGATTAAGTTGAAGAATGTATTCTCTTCAAACAGGATTAATCTAAAGCAATATTAATTGCTCAAACGTCTGGATCACCTATTTCCAAGTTGTACAGGCATCAAAATTCACCTTTCCGTTTCAGATTTATGTGGACTGAAAAGCTATAAATATGACGTATATTTACGTGCAATTATAAAAGGTTTACAAATTATCAAGATGGTGAATACTGGAAAACTTAAACAGAAAAACTGAAGTTGTTGGGACGTTCCCCTCTTTGCAGACGAATATATTGAAATTCATGCAATTTATTTACAATGGATAAAAAAGCGATGTTGTAACCGATGGTACGAAATTTTGTTAATTGGGGATGGGTAGTAGATACCGAGTGTTCAAGACATACATAAAAAACGTCCTAAAATATATATGGCTTGAATGTATACTAAACAGAAGTTTGTTGTAATATTGTATAATTGGTGCTGAGAACACCTTACTGTAACAATTTTTACATTCCAATGAAATTTACGTGACTTTTAAAGGATTCATAAATGTTAGACAACAGGAGAGTAACTATATTACAGAACAAGAGATCTCTATCATAACCCAGTGGATTGGGTGATAATGCTATCAAGATTTAAGCAATAAGTCTTGGATTTAGGTCTCAATGAAAAAATTAACATGGTGACCCAAGCACATAAAGCCCGGTGTGAAATACAACAACAAGCATGTTTCGGATTTTATGCAAATAAAAAAGTGATACGAGAACAATTGTAGTACGTATAATTTTACTCTACTTACCTCAACAATAAGATCGTAAACATGAAATCCTGTTTTCTCTATATCCAAAAGACAAGGTGTAACTAAGTGTACAAGATGTGCAGCAATGTCGAATGTATTAAAATTTGTAGTATCACTTTCCTGATGTGTAGAAGTCAAGTTTTTTTTCGAACTAAACTCTTCTGACTGGAGATCACTTGTTAACAAGTCAACAGACTTGAGTTATACAACGAAAAGAAAAAATTCAAACGAAATTAATTAAAACAATAATGCATACAACAGAGTCAGGTACATTGAAAATGATTTTAAAAAATTGTAAATGATAAATTTTCTTATCATAGGAATAATAAAAGAATGATTAACTTACCGTTTTAAAGATTCGCGAGGATAATCGTTGAGTTGAACACGTACACACGGTTCTTACATACTTATCGAAAGTGCCGTTTATTTGATTAGGTATAAGCATTTATTGAGAAGAACAAAGCTTTCTATGAAAGTAAGCTTAAAAAGCTGTACTTTAATAGAATAAGAATTCTGTAACATTACACAAATTAATTTTTACTGCTGTTATATGCCGTTAGGTCCATTAATAATTCATCCTCGTTATACAAGCTAGAGGCTATTTAGACGCAGTAGCTCAGTGGGTAAGGCGTTTGGTATTCCAAATGAAAGGTACTGGGTTTGAGGACCGCAATGAACATTAAAACTGGAATGCAAGTACATTCAGCTAGGAGGACATGTGTTCTGGATTACACTGTAAGCCACTACTAAAATATAATTATATCAGATTTGTTCAGTCTATAATGTTGATAGAATTACATCGATCAAGTCACGCGGATAGCTGTAGTCACACCATTGACTGTGGCACTGGGTGACGCTGATTTAAACACCACAGGGAGCACCAGTTCTTTTACCTTTGCTGATATACCGTAACAAAAATCAAAATCTAAGGCTTCATGCTAGTTGTTTTTAATGTCCTAACAATACTCTTTTATGTATAAGCATTAAGACAAATGTGTAGCAGCCAAAAAAATTAACTGATAACCTCCTATAAGATTGCTTAGCGAAGAAAATAATTACAAGGGACAGGTAAACAAATCACTTGCGATAATTTGTACTGAGACGATAGGTGCAACCAAGACAGTGGATGATATACTATGAAAGTGTGTGACAGCTTTAGATAACTTCTGAGTACTAAATAAGAGTTATTTGTTACTCAGTCAGTCAGTCAGTCAGTCAGTCAGTCAGTCAGTCAGTCAGTCAGTCAGTCAGTAACAACGTAGAACTTCGTACGTACGTACATCAGTTCGAGTTGCCACACCACCTTAACACAGAGATGCAGTTGTCGATTCAAATCCCATTGTGGTAGAGGTAGCAAGAGTGTAAGCAGTAATCGGGAAGATTAGGGTTTGGAGATGTTATTTAAAGAGTATAATTCAGTGAAATAAATTTGGAAAGAGGAAAAAAGGGACATGAAGAATTCAGAAGATTAGAATTCGGGAGAACACAAAGAGTGGATGCACCTGCGCCATTGCAAACGATTTTGAGCCATGTCGTTCAGGGTCTCTAACCATCGGTTGCTATCATCTCGCGGTCCCCAACCAGGTAGTCTACACCTATCAACATGACTCAGACCACTTGTCAGTGACTTCATGGATTTGTGCCATGTTTTGGTCTGACCGCCCCTAGCTTTCTTCCAACCTACTCCTATACCACTGAACATCGCACGTCGAGGCAGTCGGTCGTTGGGCATACGTAACACGTGTCCCAGCCATTTCAACTGATGAAGTTTCATCACTTCATCAATTGATTTGCCATCCTTACCTAATACCCGTTTCCTAACAACTGCATTACTTACTCGATGGTCCTATGATATACGAGCAATGTTTCGAAGACACCTATGATCGAATACTAGTAATCTACGAATATCCTCTACTCTTACCGGCCATGTTTCACTGCCATAAAGTAGGACAGGACGTACTGTTGCGCAGTAAACCCGTCCTTTGGTTGACAGACGGATATCTCGCCTACGCCATAAATGACGCAAGTTCGCAAAAGCTAGTCGAGCCTTCTGTATCCGTGCTGAGATTTCGTCACACACCAGACCACAAAGGCTGATGAGACTTCCAAGATAAGTAAAGCGGTCAACACACTCAACTACTTCACTCCCTATCACTAGTTCGGGTGTCGATGTAACCCAATCCTGAAGCAAGATTTTGCATTTCGAGGGAGAGAATCGCATCCCGAACATGCTTGCATTGTTGCTTAGAGTGGTCAGAAGACTCTGCATTTTGTCAGCGTCTTCAACAAATAAAACTATGTCATCAGCATATTCTAAGTCAACAAGTGAACCTCCCGGTAGAAGTTCAACCCCTGGAAATTTAGATGAGGAGAGCGTCATCTCTAAAAGTACGTCGACCACAAAGTTGAACAAGAATGGAGAGAGTGGACAGCCCTGATGAACACCACTTGAGGTAATCAATTCTGATGACAGTTCGCCATAAGCTCTCATTCTACCAGTTGTGTTCGAGTAGAGAGCCTGAATAAGGTTATTATACTTCTTTGGTACTCCTTTCAGTGACAAACACTGCCATAGAACCTTACGATCAACAGAGTCGAATGCCGCCTTAAGGTCGAGAAATACTACCATTGTGGGGCGTCTAAACGTGTGTCTGTGTTCTAGAACCTGACGTAGTGTGAATATTTGGTCTATACAACCACGTCCAGGTCGAAAACCAGCCTGATTTTCTCTAGTTAGCCCCCGAACGCCCTGGTACGGCCGAGAGTGGGGAGAGTCCGCTCTCCCTCTCGAAATACTCTCACACGGCCGCGCGTATACAGCCTCTGCCAGGGAAGTCCTACTCATTGCCTTCTCGTGGCGGGGGTGTTGTTTACGAAAATGAGAGGACGAAAAGCGAACGTCCGGCGCTTTAACCGGATCACAAACCAATGGTGCACATGGGCTCCAGTATCCTGCGGGAACAAATGGCGTATGAACCAATCGTTGGTCACCGGCTACCATGGGATTGCATCTCCTCACGATGTTCCACTGCCTTATGGGTTAGACCATTAGGTCAAAGGCTCGGGGTGTGGTCCCCTAAGAAAACTACCTGCTTCGGTTTGGGCACCCGGGCAGTATCACAGCCCACACACAAACAATGAACTCTATGACTACGGCAACTAATTTCCTCTCTCCGATCAACATTCAATTGATTCAAATAATTATTACTGTTATTGTCATTATTAATACCATTATTATTATTACCATTATTGTCATTATTATTATTATTATTATTATTATTATTATTATTATTATTATTATTATTATTATTATTTTCCACATTATTCACCCTCTTTTATACTTATACAGCGGCTCGTCTTTGGTGGAAATTCGACTGTATCTAAACGTTCTCGAGTCACTGTTCGGTTGAAAATTGTATGTTACCACCGAATACGAGAACTGAAGCAGTTTTTCTGAAACCACGTGCACCATTCAAACTGGCTGCCTTCAACGTTCGCACACTAATGCAGGTCGGACAACAGATAGGGCTGGCTATGTCTTTGGAAAGTCTCAATATTGATGTTTGTTGTCTATCCGAGACCCGTATTCAAGACTCTGGCGAAGTACTACAAATTCGATCTCCATCTGTCGCTTCGAAAAGCTTGTTTCACGTGCGCTTATCCGGGGACCCTGTGGCATCTTCGTCTGGTCTTGCTGGCGTTGGTGTCGCACTAAGCGCTAGAGCTGAGGCAGCACTAGTCGATTGGATCCCCATTAACAGTCGGTTATGTGCTGTTAGATTAGAAAGTTCCATCAAAGTGAGAAGAAATCGGCGTGAGAAACGATGTCTTTTCGTCATCTCCGCCTATGCCCCGACAGATTGCAGCCCGGATGCAATCAAGGATGAGTTTTACCACCAGCTGTCTGTTCTTCTCCAGAAAGTGCGCTCGACAGATATTGTAGTACTAGCCGGAGACTTGAATGCGCAGGTCGGGCGTCTAGGCACAGAAGAGAGTCGTTTAGGTGGCCGATGGGGACTCGTTGGTCGCAGGTCAGATAACGGGGACCGTCTACTGCAACTTTGCAAAGACCACAACCTGTTTCTGGCTAGCACTAACTTTCGGCACAGTGATCGCCGATGTGCCACCTGGCGTCCTCCCTCTGCATCCTAAGCCTGGACTCAGATTGATCACATCGCGATCAGCTACCGCTGGCGTGGTTGTGTAAAAGACTGCCGCTCCTTTTGGAGTACCTATCTGGACTCTGACCATGCCTTGGTCTGCGCCAATCTTGCCTTACTTTTCAGTGGACAACGAAGTGACCACCACCAAAGGATTGATATTAGCAAGCTGGTTGCAACCTCTGTTGCAAATAAGTATCGAACCGAGCTAGCCTCTAGGCTAGCTACCACTCCACCGAAAAGTATAGATGAGCATTGGTTGCAATTGCATGACGCCATGAAAATGGCGGGAACAGTCAGTTGTGGGTTTGCGAAACGTCCCGCTTTTAAGCACTGGGTTTCTTCTGGTTCCTTACAACTTATTGAAGCCCGTCGGTCGACTCTGGGTGACCGTGAGTTTGACCATAAACGAAGGATGTTACGTAGGGAAATTGGGCAAAGCTTGCGTAAGGACCGAGAAGCCTGGTGGTCGGAGCGTGCTAATGAGATGGAAGCAGCAGCTGCATCTGGTAACTACCAGAAGCTCTTCCAGCTCATCCGAGCCACTGGCAGCAAGAAGTCTGGTGTGAGTGAAACAATCTGTGAGGATGATGGGATGCCAATCACTAACATCCATCAACGACTTGGACGATGGGCTGAATTTTTCGAAGGGCAGTTCAACTGGCCTGCTGCTCCGGTAACATCGGTCAGACTGTCCTGCCCTCCATGGCCGGTGACGACTGATCCACCGAACGAGGAGGAAGTCCGCAAGGAACTCCAACTCTTGAAGCGTTACAAATCACCTGGCCCAGATGACTTACCTCCGGCTCTTTTTAAAGATGGTGGTGACTTTTTGACTAAGGAATTGACGACGTTGTTTACAAAGGTTTGGGAATTAGAGAGTGTACCAACGTCATGGAATGAGTCGATAGTTGTCCCTATCTTTAAAAAGGGTTCACGTCGTTCCTGCAACAACTATCGGGGGATAAGTCTACTTTCGATTGCGTCCAAGCTATTGGCTTCCGTCATACTTCATAGGTTGTTCAAAACCCGAGA